TAATACATTTAGATACATGATATATTGATTTTAATTAAAGCAGCCATACTACCATTCCTATCAACTGGTCCATACTTTCACTAAAAAAAAAAAAAAAAAAAAAAAGATAGAACCCAAGATATTGCCACATAAACCAAAGGAACATGGTACGATGGTACATTGTCTTAGAATAAAGTGTGTTTTAGTCAAAAGGGAACTAAAGTGAGAGTGTAATGTTGATCAGGCATACTCAAATTTTGCAACATTTCATAATGTTGAAGAGAAATTGTTAGGGGATCATGGAAATATTGCTTCCACTTGTATATAAAGGTACAGTCTTATTAGGAAAAAGGCCAAAGCTGTTACATTTCTCGAAGACAGTAGGTTTCTTTTGTTTTGTTTCTCTTTTGGTTTTGTTTGTTTGTTGTTTTGTTTTATTCCTTAAGTATTTACAATATAATGAAAGTGGGGTAACTTCTTTCTCCTTGATTTATATTTAACCCATTTCATCCTTGAGTCCTTCTTGAATTGTAAGCATCTTGATTAGGTAAGATTATTAAAAGCCAACATAGTGTACCATACTGTTGACTCAGTATGCTGAAAGATCCAGTGCTAGAGGGCAAAGAATGATTATGCTTGTTGTTCTGCTGCCTTTGATGCTAGTTTGGAAGAAGCAATGCTAGAATAATAAAGGTCACACAAGTATCTATTTTCCTCCAGGACTTTTAAAATAAATTTGTAGCTTATAATACAATTTAAGAGGAAGGAAGAAAACGACCTGCACTTAGCCTGAGATCACTGTCACAATCTGAATATTTGGCTTATCCTAGTAGTAAGAATTCCTTTCAATAAGATTTTGGTGACAATGATGATAGTAGAGAGAAACAGGAATATTGAGAATGTAAAGAATGCATAAAACCACATGGCTGTGATTTCATTATCCCATTAGTTGAAATTTCATAAGGCGGAATCACATATTGGTTAGGTAATTACCATAGGTGACTTTTACTTTTGAGATAATGAAAAGAGCACTGAGCTTACAATCAGTGATGAAAACTGAAAAAAATCACTTTTTTGGACAATTCTTTATTGCTGAAATTTGATTTTTAAATATTCATTTAATACTAAGCAACTTCTTTTTTATGTGTTTTCTGTTTATTCTTCGTTATAAATTGACAATTTCATTCCTTGAATACTTTTTTGACAGCCATTAACAATGCAACACCTATTATATTTTACTATTTTTCTAGCATATATTCATTCATTCTTTTATCTTTAAAACTTATTTATTTGTTTTTAACCAATAACTTGTAACCTGACAAATGGTTTAATTAATATATCAGTTTTATCTAATTACAGTTATTGTGATTATCTGAATAAAAATATTTGTTGTGTGTTTATGTATCTGGTTATTTTACTTTTCTCCTTTATATCTTCTTAAAATTTTTTATATCTCCTGCATATCTTCTTAATATTTGCTTTCTTCCTATGTTTATTGGCAAGTTCTTAATTTTTTTCCATTAGCAGTTAGTCACCCCTCCCCCCTTGATGTTATGGTATCCTCTCTTGAGTGATCTAGTGGATCCATTTTTTAACTATGATCAACTTTTTCACACCGAAGTGTGAATAAGTTAAAATCTTTATGATTAAGATAATTTTTATTTTAGTTTAGACAACCCAAGAAGGAGATACATATTAGAAATTATATTTTTGTACTCAAATAACCTCGTCACATTGTTATTGTGATCATTAGTTTTACATTCCAATATTACTTCCACATTGAAAGATGCAGTCTCTGGGTAACTGTAATTTTAATCTCTGAGGAGAGCCTTACTGTTAGTGCAACCCTCTCCTCACCCTTTATTTTAAAGAGGGCAGATATGCCATGGTCTAGAATTTTTCAATGATTTTACTTGATAGTTAATTAATGGCCTTCTGTGGTTTCTATGGTGATGACATGCTTTACTGCCAAGCTTTATCCAAATGGGTATTCTGTTCACTCTTGTGTCTTAGCATCAGCATATTAATCAGAGACTATAGGTCTTCAGTTGCTGCATCAACTTTGTAAGAATTTAATTGAATTAAAATATCACTCAAAGGCTTCAGGATTGTCTTCCTGAGAGTTAGAGTCAATCTTTGTAGTTTAAAGGGCTCAGAGTCAGATTGAAGCAAGGGACAATGGAACAATACAGGATTTTTGTATTCCATCAGTGTAAAATATTTTTTCTCTCATCATAGACTGTATTTCAGTGATATAATTTATCTTCCTGAAAATTTCAATATTTCTATGATTTTTCATTACCATGCATGGCTTATATCTCCAAGATGGAATGACTGAGGTAAAGGTAAAGGGGGAGTGGCTTTGTTCACACATACCTTTGGTAAAAACTGATGAGACCTTTATATTGAAGGTCCCAATGTTATTGTGATAAGGATAAGGCAGCACTTTATGAAGATGAAGACTGCCTAGCAACCTCCCAAGCTCTTTACCTTGCAAGGAGACTTCAGTTAGGAGTTATAGATAAGTCTTTGGAAGTTGGAGATAAGGGAGAAAAGAAAATGAACCAAAGGTAATCTGTCTGAAAAATTGTTTAGGTCATCATGATTGTGGATGGTTGCTTCTATTTCTCCTATAGAACTGTCATTCTCACTCCTCCATGGTTATTTCCCTTTAAAAATGATACTTTTAAAAGCTGTTGTTAGAGCTAGTCCCTAAATGTTTTTCAGAAACTGTATATATACATTTGTATTTTGTTTTCACCTTTTCTCTGGTCATCATGGTCCTTCTTACTTGTCTAAGTTCTAGCTATCATCTAACACTGACAATGAGCCTCTTCTGTACAGCTCCCTTTTTTAAGAATGTCAAGAAGATTATAGCTTCATCAGGTCTATTTTCTACATGCCCAATTCTACAATGACATTTATCTTTGTCTTTACATATCTGTCTTCTTAATTGCCATTGTAATATCAAAAACATGGGTCATTTCCTTTCAATATTTATAATTTTGAGATTCTCCATCCATTTACTAGATGCTTAAAACTTGTTTGATGACTTCCTGTACTCCTTATACTCTGGGGATATTTTGTAATGTGATTCCCTATATAAAGGATGTCCAAACTAAATGGCCTCTGAAGCTTTCAAAAGCTGTGGTCCTAAAATCTGTTCAAGCATGTTGTACTCAGCACAAAATGTAAATGCTTGTTAATTCATAATGAAAATGAGAATATCAAAATTTTAGTTTACAGTTTTAGAAAAAAAATATTTTGCCCTCATCCTTACTTTCAAAAGCCAGGAAATTCTCCTTTTGTACACTGAAGTACTCTTCCTTTTCATTTTAAAATATCATTGATGGGGTTCATATGGTGACATCTAGGCTGTAGAAAAAAACATCATGAAAGAAACACATGTAATAGAACCGAAGCCAGTGTGTACAAAGTATATAGTGATAATCATTAGGTAGCTTTTATAATATCAGCTGAATTGGGAATTATTCTTTCCCTTTGGTGAAAGCAGCATTCAAGGAAAGTGGAAAATAGAAACAAGCAGTTACCTGTCTTGACAAGCAAACAGTGAACAGTGAGTTAGATCAGAAAACATTCTATTTTTCACTGGACACTTTCATGATTCTGCATTTCACTCCCAATGCACAAATGACTATCTAAATTGCAGACAAGTACTTCTTGCAAATACCATCAAGCAAGAAAAAAAAAAAAACAAAAACCAAAAAACCCAAAACCAATCAATCAACAATAACAACAACAAAAAACACAAATGTGGCTTTCCTAAGGCTAGTAAGCAATGTCTGTCCAAATCTTCTGCAGAAGTGTCTTGAGAAGAGCCTTCATTCTTCTATCAGTCTAGTAAACCCAAGTCCCTTACAAGAAATGGCAGTGTTTATACTGTGCATACATATGTGACAGGCAGTAGATGCCTGTTCATTTGTGCTCCTGCATGTTATAAATTAATCCAACAGTAATTAAAAAGTACTTGGGAAGCCTTTTGTACTCTACTACAGTACTAAAATGTATATTATTATTATTATTATTATTATTATTATTATTATTATTATTTTCCTTGGTCATTGGCTATACTCATATTCAAACCTTCCTTAATGGGGAAAACATTTCTGAACATTATGATACTCTTTCTTTTTGGAGAAAGTAGAAAATTTTTTCTTCACAGAAGCAAAACAACTATCAAACACACTCTGGGTGGAAAAATCTTTTACCCTTTAGTAAAAATTTTTGAGACCAGAAACACAAAGTGTACAGAGTGATTATAAAGAATATGTGTTGGAAAGGGGACCAGAAGGTTGAATTCAAACCTGTATCAGGGCAATTATTTTGGGTGTATTCATGGGCATGCTGTTTCCCTTTGACCTTAATTTGTAAACTAAGTGATTTGAAAAGCTAGTATCTAAGGTTATTCACAGTTCTATAACCGTGTCAGTTTATGTTGCCCCAGTCCCACCTATTAGCCAGCTTCCATTAGCCTCCATTTATTTAGAAGTAAAGAAGCCATAGACTGAAGTGCTTTTGCATCCCCCGACCCCATCAAAACGCCAAAAGAAGCACAAAGAATTAAGCATAAAGAGGGAAGAAATCTTAGCCGAAGAAATATCTTCTTTATCTACGTCCATTTTCTCCCACAAGGAAACATGGCAGTGTCAGAGGTACATTACATATATCTCTTTCTTTCTCTTTTAGTGTTTAATCTTAGCACCTGCACAGCAGAGGTCTTTACAATTCATTGCATATGCTTTCCCCTTCTCCCCCCCAACCTCCACACAATACCTGAGGCCCAAGAAGCCACCACCTCAAAGCTCAAAAAAAGTCCGAGACCCTTCTTCATGACATAATATAGTAGTAACAGACATGCCCCACAGTTTTATACAGTTGCTAGAACACTTTAGTTTCCAACAAATAAAGATTTTTTCCTCCTTTCTTTTGAGTATTAATTACATTTTACAAATATGTGTTTGTGTGTGTGTGTGTGTGTGTGTGTGTGTGTGTGTGTGTGTTTTGTTTTGCTTTGTGTTATTCTGTTGTATGTGTACAACAGAAAGGGAAAGTCCACAGCAAAGGGTCCCGGGTTAGCAGAGTTTGGCTGTCATCTGGTCAGACTGTTTGAGGATCTCAGTGTTGTAGAGGTCCAAGGCATGGTTCACCCTGATAATCTCACTGTTAGTCAGCTTCAGGCGGTGCTTCAACATACAGGAAAACAAGTCCAGCTGGGGTTTTCCTGGGGCCACAGGAGGGGCCAAGCGATTAATTCGGTCCCGAATGTCCAACATGAGGAGCATCACGGATGAAGAGGAATAGAACTGACCACCCTGTGTGTAGGACTGATTCACTTGTTGCACGGCACTTCGAAGGAGGTCAGCATTGAACCTCAGGCTGTACCCGAACACCTGCACATCGGATATCTTAATGTAGAATTGCCTCTTGGAGGGATCCGACAGGTCCACGGGGCCCTGGCCGGTGTCATTACGTAGGGTGGGTAGCCGAGTCCGACTACGCAGGTAAATATGGACAGTCTCAAAAAAAGTTTTCCACCGATTACCCAGCAAGAGAGTCCAGTTGTAGCATTGGCTGTTTTGCAGACGGATCTTCTCCCAACGCGGATAGCCAAATTCCCCAAAGGGCATGTTCCAGCCCTCTGAATGGCTGCCACTGAAAGGATTAACATAGACAAAGAACATGGGGTCCAGGCTGCTGTTGCGCATCTGGCAGATACGCATGGACATGCCAATCACCATGTGGATGAAGTCCATGCGGTTCTTGTTGCTCTTGAGAGTGAGAGACATGCGCTTGCGCCACCGAGGGTCAAAGAATGTATCAAGGCGAATCTCATTGCTGATAAAGGTAGTGTGAACATAGAGGCGTGAGTCCATCTTCTGCAACAAGTACTTGAGTTCCAAGTCCTGGAAGTCGAGGTCGGTCTCAAAGCTGATGAACTGCTCACTCCGCTCAGAGTCCACGTTCTGTGGTTCACAGCGGCCTCTGTATAGCTTGTAGCCCTTATTGCAGGAGCCACAGAGGGAGATGTTTGCCAGGCTGCACATGGCACAGCTGTTGTTCCCACCTATGATGCATGGGATGGGGCGCTGGCACAGTGTGGTACTACCATGGCACACACAACTCCTCTGGCTCTCCAGGAAGGTTCCCCAGAACCCGTTCTCATTGCAGTAGAGAAGTGACTGGACTCTTGCAAGCCACTGCTGAATTGTCCTGGGAAAAAGAAGTAAAATGGAAAAGGTTAACTACTATGAATGGGGATGTGAAGTGCATTAACTCAACTGACCATGCAATTTGGAGCCTCCCAAAGAATGAAAGGAAGGGTTAGAAGAATGAGTTAGTTGCTAAAATTCTTGCCCTTCAAGTATGAGGAACTAAGTTAAATCCCAAGTATCGGTGTAAAAGGCTGGGCATAGCAGCCCAGGTTTTGGAGGTAAAGATAAGAGGATGGCTGATTCTTGCCAGCTAATCTAGCCTAACTGGAGAGCACTAAGACCCAATGAGAGCCACTCACAAAACAAAATTGATGGCTCCTGGAGAACAATGTCCAAGTTTGACCTCTAACTTCCACGTTTATACATTCATGTGCAGGTAAACCCAGCTATAGTCACACCAATAAAAGTGTGAAAATACACATACACAAACACACACACACACAGAGAGACAGAGAGAGAGAGAGAGAGAGAGAGAGAGAGAGAGGAATAAGCAAAATAATTTATAAAAGAATGCAATGTGAACATGTATTAATAAATACATTGTTATCATGCATAATGCCATAAAGCAGTTGTATCACTCTGTACATTACATTTCTAATGTTCTCTGTGGACCTCTTTAAAGAGGAGGGGCTAGACTAAATTTGGGGTGTCCATTCATTCTGAGAAATTTGCTTTGGGAAACACAGTGTCTAAGCATAAAAATATTTTCTGGGTGAGAACAAACCATGAATCCTCCTCATGGGAAATATTTGAGGGTCATTTTTTTTAAATACAATCATCAGAGAATTTAATGCTCTCCATACCTTTCTCTGATGAGGTTATGCAATGTCCAACCATGACAACAACACAACAAAGCTTCATTGCATCACAATCTAGAATTCCTGAGTGCTTCTGCCCGGATCATCTGGAGTGATTCTCACAGTGGCTATTCATAAAATGAAATAAATCTATATGTTCCTCTGATTTTCAAACTACTAAATTCTCAATTGTGTGGCATTTCTATTGCAAACTTCATCTTTAGAATCCATGACCATCGCCTCCCACACTGTGAATGATACCAGTGACTATACCCAGATTTCAGACACTAAAACAGTGAAGACAGATTCATAAGCTGATCAGAAGCAGCAGAATACAACATAAAAATGTGGAAGGCAATCAGCCTAGAGGCCTCTCATTTTTTCCCATTTCTGTGGAAGTCACCTCTTGTCTCTCTTCCATTTTACAAACAGGCCTGTATACCTACCTAGCAGCAGGGCATTTTTACTTCCAGCTTTTCACTTATGCCTACCAACAACACCCAGACAATGGCTTGAGAGTCAAGCATCATCAGAGACATCTTAAAATTGTGGCTCTTTTCCTCATAAACACAGGTGACAGTGGACAGTTTCCTTAGTCTTCCCACTCACTCCTTCTATCATACATAGCTGTTGTGTTACATGAATTTTTATGTGAAATCTAGCTTTAAATTTGGCATGCATTAAGGACTCAATAAACTCAGCTCTTGTTCTCCCTGCAAAGGAATTGCCAGTTCATTTTATAAACATGGCCATAGATGCTCCAGGCTAATTGATGACTTACAATCACAGGACCATTGAGAATGGAAGTCTCCTGTCACACTTACTTTGCTTTGGGTTTTGCCAACAATGCAGAATTTAAAAAGAAACAATCCTGCCTTAAGACTACATTCAAGGGCTGTGATGATATCACTGGTGATTATGTTAGAGCCCATACATAATTTGTGATCTTCCAGGACTATGAAGCTGTAAACAGCAGTCCTACATCTAGCAGTGGGATATATTAACAGTCGGCTTTATCATATACTCAGCAAATCATAAACTCCCAAATTTATTGGAGAGGCAGTCAGGTCTAAGGCTGAAGATCATGGATATTGTTGGTTCAGGCAGAACTGAAATCAGGGGAAAATGAAGCAAACAAGCAGTGTGTGGGTGTGTGTGTGTGTGTGTGTGTGTGTGTGTGTGTGTGTGTGTGTGTGAGAGAGAGAGAGAGAGAGAGAGAGAGAGAGAGAGAGAGAGAGAGAGAGAGATCCTATCCTGGGAGTGGGAGTGAGTCATTGCATCTCTTGATTCCTTTCATATTCTTTGCTAAAATGGGGATTAAAAAAAAGTCTCTCTCAAGAGGCTACAAGAGGGTTGCTGAGACGATATATTTAAAGTGCTGAGAAAAGTCTAGCATACAGCAATTATGAAAAAAAAAATGTAATGATACACAATGCTCATATCTCAGAGAATAAGCTCTTCCTTTGAAGGTCCTGAGACACTCTCTGGGACTCTCTGAAGTGTAAAGGAAGCCATTTTGTTACAGTCATTTGAAAATGGATACTGTTGAAATGGTTGCCTGGCTGGCTTAGGCTTTAAATGAGTTGTTTATCGGCTGAGAAAAATGGTGGAATAATTAGCTCCCTGAAGCTGTCTGTTTAATCCACATAACCATTTCCACCTGGAAATAAAACTTCCCTCACAACGCCCAAAGGTACTTCATCCGAATCATTTGCCTCATTTCTAGTTTCTTCTACAGCTCCTCAGGTTTAGCAGGTGGGGCTTCCATCCCCATCACCTAGCACACGATCTAGCTAGGTCTATAAATGTTTGCTGGATGAATGAAGAAAGAATAGTAATATTTCCCTTCCTAAGTTTTATTAACAAAATGAAAAAAAAAAATAGAAGAAGGAAAACAAACGTCTCCCTCTCGCCTCAGGACTGCAGTATTAGTTTTCCATACCATCCACCCACACAGCCCACAGCCGCAGGCCTCTCTGGTCTCTGCTTCGTGAGACCAATCCTATTACAGCCTGGAGAACAGCAGGGCCAGCTTTCAGGAAATGGAGCAAGAATCATAATGAGCTGTGTGGCTCTTACTTCCCAAATCAGAACATTGATTGAATATTGGGGTATGAGTCATCTGATATTTTTTGCGAGCTGCAGGGGCCCTCCACGCGGCAGCGATTGCGTGGTTACATCTGACAAGAGTGTTATTTCAAAATGCCTCTTTCAAATGGCCCACACTTGCCCCTGTCACTCCCTCTCCAAGTGACAGCACAGTACCCCATTTAGAGCGCTTCTGTTCCCATCTGCAAGGCATTCTATAACCCCGTAGAGCGCCCCCTTTCTCGTGTCTCATCTTTGGGACCCTTTGTAGGGACCACAGCCCCCACTCCTCCTATCAATGCTTCATTGTGGTGGAGCTCTCAGAATCCTCAGTGAGGGAAATAAAAAGATGAAAGTTCCTGGTGATGCTGGTACAAGCAAGGGGGCTGCTGGGGAATTAGGATTCCAGCCTTGTCAGGCTGGAGGGATTGGGGACAGAGGCCCTCTGAGACACATTAGCAGGCTGCATGGCACCTGCGTCTCCTGAGCTTGGAATAATCAGGAGGTTGTGGGCTGTATCAAAGGAGGCATTAATGATACAGCATGAGGACTCAGAAGGGAAGTGGTGTGAACGAGGGGTATAAGGAGTACTAGGCCCAAGAAAGAGGAAATAGAGGGAAAAGTGGGGTGGCAGAGAGGAAAAAAGGACTTCATGTTGGAGATGATGGGCAGAAGGGTACATGGGAGCTACTGTGCAGAAGCTATCTTACAACCAAAGTGGGCAGGATAGAAATAATTTCAAATATCACGGGTTACAAGATTCAGAGAATGTGGACAGTGGAGAGCTCTAGGCTGGGTCATGAATTAGTGATCCCCCCCCCCTTTCATTTATACAAGAGTAGCAACACGAGAGGGAATGTGAAGTGTTATCAGTGATTCCTAGTCCACAAAGTCAGTGAGCATCCTCTTTCTTTTCAATAATTCATTTTAAGAAAATTAAAACATGAGAAAACAGGCTCAACCCATTTCTAGTGTGTGTGTGCAGGAGTGTAAGTGTATGTATATACTCTCACTGAGTTTTTTTTTTTTTAAATGTAAGCAACTTCAAGCAGTGAATCACACTTAATCAAAATAATCTCTTATAGCTTCTCCATTTCCACCCAGTGATCTGAATAGTAAAACTGCCACTGCAGGTGGAACCCTATGCCTGTGGAGGGATTCCATGCCTTGCCAGATAAATTACTGTGTATCATGGGTGTTGATTCTGAGTGTTGATATAAAGTCTTCATATGAGTATCACATGTCACCACCCTGGTGTGGGCAGAAGATAATAGGGACTTGAGAAGTGAGGTAACACCATTCGAACACCAAGCTTTGTACACCTAGCATGGAGATAGTTTGTGCTATGTACCACAATATGATATTACAGGAGTAAGGAGAAAAAGGAGGAAGGAGTAGCCACAAGAAGGGAAGCAAATAAAAAGAATGGGGAAATACAGAAAGTTTGAGCATGTAAGAACTATTATCACACGCCTTGCTTTCTCTGAACCTCCCAGGGTCTCTCTTCTCTGTTCACAGATAATTGGAACTCTCTGATGAGTGCACAGGCAGAGGATAAGGACCAAGGGTAGGTGGAACTGGGATCTATAAATAACCATTTCCCAGGCTACTGATGACAGCCACCTCAACTTTGGCGACAGGGAAAGAGCTTAATATGCCTGTTCTCTAGTTCTCTATGGGAGGGTCTCCTAGTGCTCACACAGACCCATGTTATGTAGTCAGTGTGAAGTAGCTAGAACCATTTTTTAAAATGCTTTTCTTTGTCCCTTGGGATCCAGCTACAGCACTTCCATTCTTAGCCAAATCAGCATCTATCTGTCCGACTCATCCATCACTTCAGTCTGATTTGAGTTGGAGTGAAGGGAGGGGAGAGAACAGGAGGGAGAGAAGGACCAAAAAGAGAGGGTAGAAGAGGGTAAAGAGGAAGGAGGACAGGAAGCTGAATATTCACTTTTAAACTGGTAAAAATCCAGTGCTTTATTGATTAGCACCCACAGTGGCTTCAGATAAAAGCAGAGAATTTCTAAGAAAAATCTTTCAAATTAACAGTCAATTTCTATCATGTTTGGAACTCAACACCCCTGCCACTGGGTTGATGATGTGGCCAGCTAAT